AAAAAACAACGTATTGATTTATTCAACTCTATTTGTTGGTTGGTTTCTTTTCATTGCGGGTGTTCAGTTTAATTTTTGATAACTTGGGCACAACGTATAAGCCTTTAGGTCTATTAGTCACTTCGTGGTATAATTCAATCTTTTTATTTAATTGATTATTTTCGTTTGCCTTACTTGTGCAAGCTACAAGACCTTTCAGGCATTTCTCATTTTTTTCCAATAATTAATTAGGACCTTGATGTCGTTTTAAAAAGATGAGTTCGAACCTCTTAACCTCTTATTTGTCTTGATCCATATGGGGTTCCTTCAGAGTTTCGTCGTCTCCTGACCAAATTAGTATCATCAGAAGAGTCGTCTGCACATTAAGCTGGTCAGGTACCCAATTGCATTAAGTGGTCATAAAAACAGTGGGGAAGGGCAGTAATGGTTGGCCCACGAGATGTTATAGAAATGTCACAAGTCATGGGTAGCAATATGAGAGGTGGGCCCAGGTTATGTGAAGAGGTGATTAGGTCACTGACACTGTGACGATGTGACAGTGACACTATAAAAAGATATATTGTCAGTGTCACTATAAAGGAGAGATGTCATGAGTGTCACTATGAGGATAATATGTGGTCAGTGTCTCATTGGAGCAAAAAATGTGGTCAGTGTCACTATGGAGAGTTGTGGTCAGTGTCACTATGGAAAGTTGTGGTCAGTGTCACTATGGAGAGTTGTGGTCAGTGTCACTATGGAGAGTTGTGGTCAGTGTCACTATGGAGAGTTGTGGTCAGTGTCACTATGGAGAGTTGTGGTCAGTGTCACTATGGAGAGTTGTGGTCAGTGTCACTATGGAGAGTTGTGGTCAGTGTCATTATGGAGAGTTGTGGTCAGTGTCACTATGGAGAGATGTAGGCTGGTGGCACTATGAAGAGATGTGGGCAGTGGCACCATGAAGAGATGTGGTCAGTGGCACTATGAAGAGATGTAGGCTGGTGGCACTATGAAGAGATGTAGGCTGGTGGCACTATGAAGAGATGTGAGCAGTGGCACTATGAAGAGACAAGGGCTGGGGCACTATGAAGAGATGTGGGCTGGGGCACTATGAAGAGATGTGAGCAGTGGCACTATGAAGAGATGTGGGCAGTGGCACTATGAAGAGATGTGAGCAGTGGCACTATGAAGAGATGTAGGCTGGTGGCACTATGAAGAGACAAAGGCTGGGGCACTATGAAGAGATGTGAGCAGTGGCACTATGAAGAGATGTGAGCAGTGGCACTATGAAGAGACAAGGGCTGGGGCACTATGAAGAGATGTGGGCTGGGGCACTATGAAGAGACAAGGGCTGGGGCACTATGAAGAGACAAAGGCTGGGGCACTATGAAGAGATGTGAGCAGTGGCACTATGAAGAGATGTGAGCAGTGGCACTATGAAGAGACAAGGGCTGGGGCACTATGAAGAGATGTGGGCTGGTGGCACTATGAAGAGATGTGGGCTGGTGGCACTATGAAGAGATGTGGGCTGGGGCACTATGAAGAGATGTGAGCAGTGGCACTATGAAGAGATGTAGGCTGGTGGCACTATGAAGAGATGTGGGCTGGGGCACTATGAAGAGACAAGGGCTGGGGCACTATGAAGAGACAAGGGCTAGGGCACTATGAAGAGATGTGAGCAGTGGCACTATGAAGAGACAAGGGCTGGGGCACTATGAAGAGATGTGGGCTGGGGCACTATGAAGAGATGTGGGCTGGGGCACTATGAAGAGATGTGGGCTGGGGCACTATGAAGAGATGTGGGCTGGGGCACTATGAAGAGATGTGGGCTGGGGCACTATGAAGAGATGTGAGCAGTGGCACTATGAAGAGACAAGGGCTGGGGCACTATGAAGAGACAAGGGCTGGGGCACTATGAAGAGATGTGAGCAGTGGCACTATGAAGAGATGTGAGCAGTGGCACTATGAAGAGACAAGGGCTGGGGCACTATGAAGAGATGTGGGCTGGGGCACTATGAAGAGATGTGGTCAGTGTCACTATGAAGAGATGTGGGCTGGTGGCACTATGAAGAGATGTGAGCAGTGGCACTATGAAGAGATGTAGGCTGGTGGCACTATGAAGAGATGTGAGCAGTGGCACTATGAAGAGATGTGAGCAGTGGCACTATGAAGAGACAAGGGCTGGGGCACTATGAAGAGATGTGAGCAGTGGCACTATGAAGAGACAAGGGCTGGGGCACTATGAAGAGATGTGAGCAGTGGCACTATGAAGAGATGTGAGCAGTGGCACTATGAAGAGATGTAGGCTGGTGGCACTATGAAGAGATGTGAGCAATGGCACTATGAAGAGATGTAGGCTGGTGGCACTATGAAGAGACAAGGGCTGGGGCACTATGAAGAGACAAGGGCTGGGGCACTATGAAGAGACAAGGGCTGGGGCACTATGAAGAGATGTGAGCAGTGGCACTATGAAGAGATGTAGGCTGGTGGCACTATGAAGAGACAAGGGCTGGGGCACTATGAAGAGATGTGAGCAGTGGCACTATGAAGAGATGTAGGCTGGTGGCACTATGAAGAGACAAGGGCTGGGGCACTATGAAGAGATGTGAGCAGTGGCACTATGAAGAGATGTAGGCTGGTGGCACTATGAAGAGACAAGGGCTGGGGCACTATGAAGAGATGTGAGCAGTGGCACTATGAAGAGATGTAGGCTGGTGGCACTATGAAGAGATGTGGGCTGGGGCACTATGAAGAGATGTGAGCAGTGGCACTATGAAGAGACAAGGGCTGGGGCACTATGAAGATATGTGGGCACTAACAAACTTCAGGTTTATAATACATGTTCAGTGTCAAAACGAAGACCCATGATCTAATATAAACGTGTCTTTAAAAAAAAACATGTGTCACGCCAAAAATGACAAATCACCTATTCTTTACCAAAACGAAAAATAATCTGTGAAAAAAATATTATCTTTTTTTATCTGTTCCAAAAATGTTGTGTTCTTTGATAACACAAGTCAGTGGTCTGCATGTCAATTAACATAAACGAATACCTCTCACTCCCCTCCATTTTCTACCCACCCCGATTTCTTAAAAAGGTAAATTTTGTCTTGTGAACACTTTTAACATTTGTTTTAGATAACAGATCAACCATTGGTCTGTCCGTGTCACACTACAAAAAACACGCCACATGACGAAATAATCCCTCTTGTTTAGGCGCATGAATAAATCTCTTGTGTAATGTAATCTGTTTTACATATGTATAATGAATTACACGTCTGCAAATTGAACAGTGCTTATACGAAAAGGTTGGGACGGGAAAGGTTGGCTATTTTAAAACACTTTAGGGCTACCCCTGAGGGTCAACAAAAGACATCACGATCTTAATCCTCACCTCTATGCAATCATCACGAAACTTAGACCCCTTGAAAGTATGTTACAAAATTACGCACCCCAGGGTTTCTTTTAGTTATTTTTATTATGGAATGGGGAGTGGACACTGGTTAAAGTATACATTTTTAAAAAGTATACATTTTTATAAAGTATACATTTTTATAAAGTACACATTTTTTTCTATCCAGAGTTTCTTCCCCCCCCCCCTTCCCCACGAAGAGAGTCTACAGCCCCCCCCCCACCCCCCCCCCCCCACCCCGAACGAATTTGAATTTATATAGAAAATATATACTTTTACCAGTGTCGGCCCCCCCCCCCCATGAAAATTCAGTCCACCCCCCCCCCCTCCAAAATATCAAGTGCCCCCCCCCCCCTCCGGAGAAAAAATTCAGGAAGTAACAGTAACAATGTTTCTATTTCGTCCAGGGGGGGGGGGGGGAACGACGTTTTCCGGGATGGGTGAGGGAAACACTGCTCGGGTGAGATCCATCCTCCATCCCCCACCCCCACGGTCATGTGTGTCCTTTAAAAATTACAAAATTCCAATTCAAAAACTCTCATAACACATCATGACAAAATTCTAACTCCTCCTCCCTCCTCTCCCTCCCCTCTTCTCTGTAAGTGTGAAATCATTTATGGACGCCCCCCCCCCCCCCCGAAGACCTAAACATTTGAATATGCTGGCCAATATGGCTGTTTACTTCAGTTTTATAAAAAGGCCGCCCTATCGGAGACCTCGGCACAGAAAACAAAGGATTAAGATAACAATCACGGGGTAAATGCCGTTCTAGATAAGGCTTAAGATCCCGGGGCCTTGCCGATTGGTATCTCGCTTTGAAAAAAATCTGGCACTTAATTCTTCCATATCAACCATCGATTGCCAGAAATGGCTGCAACGCTTAAAGGGACTTCCGGCGGTACTTTAAAGTGTACTCGGGCAAGCACTCGGATTGAAGAACGACATTTAATGCGAGATTTCCGCGTGCTTCGTTTCTCCGGAAATCAAAAGAAAACAAGGCTAAGGTTATTTTTAAATGACTGCGAAATTAAGGTTAAAAAAATTTCCGGGCATTTTTAAATACGGTCTGTTAACAGAAAATTATTTTCATAACAACGGGTGCAACAATGGCTATCATTCTGACGTCATACAGCTGATGAGAGGGGGGGGGGGGTTCTCTCAGATATTTTGTCCTTTTCTTTTAGAGAAAGCCTTATTCGGGGCTCCCCCTGCCCTGCCCTTCCCCAACTATCAACTAAAAACATTTATTTTTAACAATGACTTAAAGTAAGTTGTCTTAACCATTGGGTTTTTTTTTTTTTAAACCGTTTATTTTTTTCTTTCTAGGATTATTGATAAGTTTGTTTAAGTAGGAAGAAATGTCGACTCAAGATAATAGTAAATCAAAATTATATTAAATATCAAACTTAAAACATTTTATTCATAAAATTTGTTGATGTACAGTTGGAATCAGTACATTTTCTATGTAAACAGAACAGAGCATATATAAATAAAAAGCATGGGAATTTCTTATAAAAATGGGAAAAAAAAACATTTATTAGTCCTCAGAAGTAATTGTTAAGACAGATCAAATTAAAAAAGATGAGTACAAATAAAACTTGTCTACACCCACCTCACGTGCTAGAAAGGTAATCTCAAGCAGCGATCAGAAAACGTGACGATATCTTGCGCGTGCCGTCCACCCCGCCTGCTCCAGTGGCAATAGACGCGCCTCGACACAGGCCAATGACGCTCGTAACCACGGACGCGCGCGGTAACCAACGCCAGCCCCGACTGCGCTTAAAACAATGCCGCTGATTGGTCTTTATAAAGTGGCGGCAGACGAGCCTGTAGAGGCGCGGGAAGCCAAGCAAGACGTGGAACCTATCCAAAGACACTCGAAGAAATGGTCTTCTATTGAATGTCCACGGGTTTTAATATACTGGGTCTGAATGAGCCGAAGCGAGACGGTGTGGGGTTTGGTTCTAATGGCATATTAACACGTTTCTAATGAAGATAAGGGGAGCGTTTGCCGTGTCATTGTTGGGGGCTGCGTGCTGGGACTACCTGGTAGGTGTGTTCACTACAGTGGCTGGTATATACAGGCATATAAACTTGAATATGGTGGGGTAAGGTCTTATACTAAGTTATAGAGAATAATGGTATATAAGACTGGCAAATGCAATATATATATATATATATATATATATATATATATATATATATATATATATATATATATATATATATATATATATATGGTGCATGGGGGTAATAGGAAATATCTTTAACTGTTAAAGAGCTTAAGGCACGTGAGACTGGTATAATCAAGAATTACATGCATGGGGTAATAAGAAATGTCTTTAATTGGAAGAGAGTTTATGGCAGTTATTACTGGTTATAGTTATTTGCAACAATATAAGCAAGCAGGTAACATGAAAGGTCTTTACGGAATATCCTAGACATTATTGAACGTTACGCTCAACCCACCACCCCCACCCCTACCCCCACCTTTACGACTGTATACACACATTTGTGTCAAAAGGGCACAGCATACTCTCTAAAAGGGAAATTGAATCTTTTTTTCTTTCTCGTATATACCTAGTATAAAGAAAGTCTTGTAATCCTGCAAAAAAAAAAATCGAGAATTTTCCAAATCTCGACGTTTTACACCTCCCTGAGTTGGAAAAATATAGTTTTGCAATCTTGTCCGTATGTCTGTGTGTGTGTCTTGAGTACCGTTACAGCTAGGCTGATGAAATTTCATATATAAGTATTATATCAAATTTGTACATCAGTATCAACTTTTCAGCAATTTCCGATAACCAAAAGTGAAACTTATTCTACTTTCAATTTTTCAAAAGCCTATAACTTGAGTACTTTTTCAGATAGATAAATGAAATTTCACATACAAGTAAAAGATATAATTCTCTGCCTTCTATCAAATTTTGAGTTATTTCCGTTGACCGGAAGTAGTAATTTACGCTATTTCCGATTTCTAAAAAAACTCATGTGAATTTATAAAGTACTAATAATTTCACGCACTATTATGCACATTTTATTTGGCGTTCACTTGGTGTGCAATTCTTATTTCTACGAGATTTTATTCTATTTTAAAAAGTTTGTAATTAAAAATGGTTTAAAATATTGTCTATATCCCGAGTTGCCATCGCCCGTCGTGTTATATAAGAATATTAGAGAAAGTTTAGGGGAGATCTTACTTACTTAATCCTCATCACTCCCTGTGGAGTATAGGGCAACAACAAATCTCCGCCATTCCACCCTGTCCTGGGCGAGCCACTTTAGTTCATGCCAGGTTTTGCCAGTAGCCTGTACTTCTTCTTCCATCTCCCTCCTCCATGTTCCCAGTGGTCTTCCTCTACTTCTCTTTCCGGGTGGGTTCCACTTCAGCGCCATGTTGGGGAGTCTTTTTTTGCTCATGCGTAGGACATGGCCCAGCCATCTCCATCTCCTCGTTCTAACTTCTGAGACAATGTCGTTTAATCCTGTCCTTCGCCATATTTCCTTGTTCGGGACTTTGTCGTCCCACTTTATCCTGAGGATGCGTTGGAGGGATCTTCTTTCAAAGCCTCTGAGTCGGCTGTCTACTTTCTTGTTTAGTTTCCATGACTCTGCAGCATAGAGGAGTACAGAACGTACATTAGACTTATAGATCCTTATTTTAGTTCTCTGCTGCAGTGAGGATGATTTCCAGATCTTAGCGAGTCTGTTGAAAGCTTGTGCTGCCATTGCTATTCTGGTGGCAATTTCTTTCTCCATGCTGCCATTTGCTGATATATAGCTGCCGAGGTACTTAAAGTCTTCGACCTCTTCTAGCTCTGCTCCATTCGCAAAGGTCTTGAGAGCACTTTTGGTTTTTATTTTCATTAGCTTGGTTTTTCCGGAGTTTATCTTTAGCCCAACGCTTTTGGCAATTTGCTCTATTCTTGTGGTTTTCGCTTGGATGTCTTTTTGGGCATGTGAAAGTAAAGCCAAGTCATCAGCAAAGTCACAGTCCTCTAGGTGGTTGGTAAGTTCCCAAACAATTCCTCTTGGCTTATCCTCAGTGGCTCTTCTCATAATCCAGTCTATTACCACCAAAAAGATGACAGGTGAGATGACACAGCCCTGTCTGACTCCTGTTTTTACCTTGAACCATTCACTTTGCTGATTTTCGTGTCGCACACAGCATTGGTTATCATAGTACATGTCCTTAAGTATGTTTATGACTTTTCCTGGAAAGCCATATAGCTCTAGTATCTTCCATAATGATGGATGGTGGATGCTATCAAATGCTTTCTCGAAATCTATGTAGTTGATGTAGAGAGACGAATTCCACTCCAGTGACTGTTCCACTATAGTGCGCAAGACAAATATTTGGTCGTTACATGACCTGTTGGCCCTGAAGCCAGCTTGTTCTTCACGAAGGATCCCATCAATTCCTTTCCTCATTCTTTGTAATAGCACTCTGCAGAAGACTTTTCCTGGTACTGACAGAAGATTAATGCCTCTCCAGTTCTCACAAACATTAAGGTCGCCCTTTTTGGGTAATTTGATAATGATTCCCCGTTTCCAAGAATCTGGGACTTTTTCTTCATTCCATACTTTGTTGAAGATCCCTAAAAGAGTTTCTGCACCTATTTTTGGGTCTGCCTTTAGCATCTCCGCAGTGATTCTGTCCTCTCCTGGAGCCTTATTGCTTTTTGTTTTTTGGATTGCTTCTATTATTTCTTGTTCTAGGATGGGTCCTCTATACATTTCAAAATGTATGTTCATGTCAGTGAAGTCAGCAGTTTCTTCTGGGTCTGGTCTGTTTAGGGTCTCTTCGAAGTATTCAGCCCATCTTTTCAATTGATGTTTCTCCGTTGTAAGAACTTTCCCGTTTTTGTCCTTGATAGTAGATGATCTATTTGCAATTCCTCCTGTTAGAGTCCTGATAATCTTGTAGACTGTTCTGCTATCTCCCTTACCAGCTGCAGCCTGTGCTTCTGTGGCCATTGTGTCTACATAGTTCCTTTTATCCTTCCTAGCATTCCTTTTTACCTCTTTTTGCAGTCTTCTATATTCTACATCGTTCCGTACCCTGCTTTCCATGGTTCCAGATAGTGTTTTGATTTTGGCTTCTCTTCTCTTTTCAATGAGATTCCAAGTATCGTTTGAGATCCATTCCTTCCTTTGTTTGTTCCTGTGTCCTAGTATGCATTGGCTTGTTTTCGTGTATACATCCAGGATCTTCTCGCATTGAGTATTGGTGTCCTCTTCTGGTAGGTTCTCGAGTAGACTAAATCTATTTTTTAGTTCAATTGCGAAGTTTTCCTTAATGGTGGGATCTTTTAGTTTAGCTGAGTCAAATAGCTGGTGGTTTACTTTCCTGTCAACTCTCTTAAGCTTGAGTTGTAGTTTGCACAAGACTAGATTATGGTCGCTACCCACGTCAGCTCCTCTTATCGCCTTTACATCCCTCATGGATCTTCTCCACTTTTTATTTATAGCAATGTGATCGATTTGATTGCTGGTTCGCTTATCTGGGGATATCCAAGTGGATTTGTGTATTTCTTTGTGCTGAAATAAGCTGCCACCTATAACCAGACCATTTTCTAGGCAAATCTCTCTAAATCTTTGGCCGTTGTTATTTGCCTCTCCCAGCCCCTCCTTACCCATGCAGATCTCGTATCCTTCATTACTGGCCCCTATTTTTGCATTCATGTCTCCCATGACCACAAGAATGTCATGTTGTGGAGTCCTGTCGATTTGCTCTTGTAGAGTGTGGTAGAACATGTCTTTGTCTTCATCCTTTGCTTGTTCTGTCGGGGCGTAGCACTGTATTACGGTAATCTTTACATGTCTTGAGTAGAATCTGGCTCTAAGCATGCGAGAATTGATTGGTTCCCACCCTATTAGGCTTTTCCTTGATATTTTATCCATGATAATACCAACTCCTTCCTGGTGTTGGTTATCAGATCTCCCAGAATAGATTATAGTTTCTCCTGATCCGAGTGTAGTCAGGCCTGAGTCTGTCCATCTCATTTCGCTGATACCCAGGATGTTGATCCTGTATCTTGACATTTCCTTGACCACTTGAGCTGTTTTGCTAGTTTCGTACATGGTACGCACATTCCAAGCTCCTATTCGTGTAATAATTTTGGGGGTTACTAAGGACTGTTTCAGAGTAGAGACTTCCTTGCGGCTTTCATCTAGACTCGTCATATCAGGCAAAGCTGCCTCGGTCCTCGGTTGCTCTCCCATGATGGTTTGATTTAGATCTGTTGCCGTTTCTGTAGCGTTTTTGTTTTTACATGGTGGGTTGCTAGCCCAAACCCAAAACCCTCCTCCTTTCCCATTCTGGACTTGGGACCAGACAATGGCGGAGTTTTAGGGGAGATCACTCCCGGTTTATTTTAGCTAATTTGAACTTCTGGTATTGCTTTCTCTAACGTCGGCGCACAATGGATAAATGTTTTGAGCGCCAACGAAATCCCCGACAAAACCTTCAGACGCGGCCATTGAATTTCACAGATTAATCAGTGTATCTATGCGCACCGCGTTACCAAGTCAGGGTTTGTTTTCTTACAAGGTTTCTACGACCGCCTGCTGTAGTTTAACCCTGACTTCATTTAGGTAAAGCAGGTGCATGTGCATCTTCACATGCAAGCGCGCGCTTGTACATGTGTTGGTGTGTGTGCATCTGCTTGTGCAGGTGCATGTGCATCTTCACATGCAAGCGCGCGCTTGTACATGTGTTGGTGCATGTGCACCTGCTTATACAGGTGCATGTGCATCTTCACATGCAAGCGCGCGCTTGTACATGTGTTGGTGCATGTGCATCTGCTTATGCAGGTGCATGTGCATCTTCACATGCAAGCGCGCGCTTGTACATGTGTTGGTGCGTGTGCATCTGCTTGTGCAGGTGCATGTGCATCTTCACATGCAAGCGCACGCTTGTACATGTGTTGGTGCATGTGCATCTGCCTATGCAGGTGCATGTGCATCTTCACATGCAAGCACGCGCTTGCACATGTGTTGGTGCATGTGCATCTGCTTATGTAGGTGCATGTGCATCTTCACATGCAAGCGCACGCTTGTACATGTGTTGGTGCGTGTGCATCTGCTTATGCAGGTGCCATGTACATCTTCACATGCAAGCGCGCGCTTGTACATGTGTTGGTGCATGTGCATCTGCTTGTGCAGGGCATGTGCATCTTCACGTGCGAGCGCGCGCTTGTACATGTGTTGGTGTATGTGCATCTGTTTGGCTGGGCAGGTGGATTTTTATATTATATACAAATTATTTCTACCTTTCAAAAGGACCTTGGTTATTGGGTTTTTTTTTTTTTTTTTTTTTTTTTTTTTTTTTTTTTGCTTAAGAAAAATTTACATTCTAACTTTAAATTTCTGGTATACAAAGTATAGAGAAAATATTGTAATCGTGCAAAAAAAAAAATTCGAGATTTTTGTTTTTGCAAATCTTGACGTTTTACACTTCCCTGAGTCGGAAAAACATAGTTTTGCAATCTTGTCCGTATGTGAGTACCGTTACAGCTAGGATGATGATATAAGTATAATATTAAATTTGTAGGTCTGTATCATCTTTTCAGTGATTTCCCGTAACCGGAAGTGGAACTTTTCTACTTTCAATTTTTCAGATATAGATTGTTCTATATGAACGAAATTTCACATATAATATGTGAAATTTCGATCTACTTTTCTGCCTTGAGTAATAATTTCCGTTGACTGTAAGTAGTAATTTACGCTACTTCCGATTTCTTAAAAAACGCATGTGAATTTATAAAAAAAACTAAATATATTGCGCACTATTTGATTTGCGTTCAATTGGTTTTCCCTTTTTTACTTTCTCGTATATACGTAGTATAGAGAAAGTATTGTAATCGTGCAAAAAAAAAATCGAGATTTTTGCAAATCTCGACGTTTTACACCTCACTGATACGGAAAAACATAATTTTGCAATCTTGTCCGTATGTCTGTGTGTCTGTGTGTGTGTGTGTGTGTGTGTGTGTGTGTGTGTCCGTGTGTAAACACGATAACTTGAGTACCGTTACAGCTAGGTTGATGAAATTTCATATATAAGTATAACATCAAAATCGTAGATCCGTATCAACTTTTGAGCGATTTCCGACAACCGGAAGTGGTACTTTTTCTACTTTGAATTTTTCAAAAGCCTATAACTTGAGTACTATTTCAGATAGATAAATGAAATTTCACATGTAAGTAAAAGATCTAATTCTCTACCTTCTGTTAAATTTTGAGTAATTTCCGTTGACCGGAAGTAGTAATTTACGCTACTTCCGATTTCTCAAAAAACTAATGTAAATTTATTAAGTACTAATACTATTGCGCACTATTATACACACCTTTATTAGGCGTTCGCTTGGTGCGCAATTGTTTTTTACTGAGATTCTATTCTATTTTTGAAAGTTTCAGTATTTAAAATGGATTAAAAATCATAACTATATCCCCAGTTACCATCCCCTGTTGTTTTATATAAGAATATTCGAGAAAGTTTAGGGGAGATCACTACCGGTTTATTTTCTACGAGATTCTAATTAAAATTAAAAATTGATTTAAAATATTGTCTATATCCCGTTCGGAGGGGGGGGGGGCGGCGGTAGACCGAAGACACCCCCCCCCCCCCCCCCGCCGCGAAGAGTTGCCTGGAAAAAAACACTGATTAATTAATTTTTCTTGAAACATCTATTTTCATTTCCAAAATATTGACTGTGATCAATGAACAGTGAGTATTTTACTCAATAACGGGGCTAAAATTCGTTTTCTAACATTGCTTTTATAATGTAAAAGTGTGACGTCATATATAATCAGAGACACACCCAGTGAAATTCTACACATCCTGTGTTTCTTTCAGGCATCTCTTCAGTTCCATAACAAATGATCTTATATTTTTAATTGCTCTTTTAACGTTTAATGGAATGTGACAGACCTAGACGACAAAAATTTTCAAAATAATTATGTGTAAAGTTAAAATAGACTGATATCCTCCTAATTACTATAAATATTTTAACGTGAGATATTATGTGACCTAATTAGGGGGTGGGAGTGAGGGGTGTCCAGTGCGCATTATTTTTAATACAGTCATCCCCCCCCCCCTTTTTTTTTCATGTATACTACAAACAAATGAACTAACTTTGCACAACCTAGTTATTTTTATCTCTGTTAAGATTACTCAAACGTTGCTATCATCATAATAGATTGATTTGATTTATTGTAGTGAGATTTCAATGCATTGCTTTCTCTATATAATTAGCACGTTTTCTTAGGTGTACCCTTTCTCCCCAACATCCATATTGATGTGTGTTTCTGTACTTAAAAAGGCACTCTTTAAAAAATTGATTAAATTTATCTGGAAATACTGTTTGTTTGCTAGTATATTTTATTTCTGCCTTCCCCCCGATTGCGCAACCTGTAGCGGTACACCAACCACCCCCGCCCCTCCCGCACCTTCTCAAACTACTGACTTCTTTTCTTAACAACGTTCACCTCTTTTTTTAGCCACACAATAGCTAACAAATTCAACTGGCGACAGCAAAAAAATTTTTTTACCATGAATGAAAATAGGGACGGTAACTCAAAGAATACAATTTGTAATCAATGAGCCATAATTATATCTCTTTAGTTAGGCGAATTATTTCTAAGACTTATACTTACATACATTCCAATATGCCTTGTTGTTACGGAGGGGTCCGTAATTTTGTGACGGTGTGTGATGAGGGGTAGAGGGGAGGTTCAGATGGTGTGACATCACACTTTTGAATTATAAAAAAGCAATGTTAGAAAACGAGTTTTAGTCGCTATTTCGAGTTTTAATAAATGGTAATAAGAATTGATTTAAATACTCTGTTGACAATATTTTTAAAAAAATATCGATGTTGTACGAGAAATTCAACCACAATTTGAGGGAGGGGGGAGGGGTTGTAGGCTGAGGTGAGGCGTCAGTTTAGGGGAGAGGGGAGAGGTAAAAATCGTCCAAAAAAAGCGTGACGTCATTTATGGATGACCCCTTATGTCGATCCGTTTTACATGAATGAAGTTAAGCATCTATATATATATAATTCTCTTCTGGGAGCCGTTAGAAAACAAGCTGCAAGCGCGCCTTACAGTCCCCTCTTTTCCTCTCTATCGCTACCACCCCCCCCCCCCCCTCACATGGTCTGGTGAGCTGTGGTTCACGCTGTTTACATTTTACAATCATAGAGACGGGTTTGGTGACGGCTATTAGGGGCAGATAATTTAGTTTGAAACGATTTTAAACTTAGAGGAGGTAACTAAGAGGAGGCTGCTTTCACGTAGGGGGGGGAAGGGGGGGGGGGAGAAAGGGGGGTTTAGTGTTTTTAAGCAAATATTTTCAGTGGCAGCATTGGTACTGTCGAATTCACAAATTATAAATTACTGAAAAGTAGAGAAAATAAACTAAATAGCGGCGTATGATACGAAGCGGGTCGGCTCGTTCTCTTTACAGTGCATCTTCCTGCCATCTTTCCGGGGAGCAACTCAACCGCCCCCACCCCCATCCCGGACGAAAAACGAAAAAAAGTATAATTTAGATAGAAAATATACGTTATAACCTGCGCATCCATTTTGGCCATTCATTTAGATTTCCCTTCTTCCATCACACATTTACCTCCCCTTTTCACCTTACTACTATTCTATGCTATCTCGTAAACACGCATCAATGTGTATACGTTAAAACACAACACATCAACCCACAACAACACAGCTTACAACTCTCTCAGACGGCAACTGACTGAAGCTCACCCAACTACCACGGGAACTCATGACGTCAGCATCACGTGACACTACAAAAAAAAACCCACACACCTCTGTCGTAGACCCAAACTGGAAAATATCAAACATTTCAGACTTGCTCTCTGACCTGTATCGATACAACTTGGTACTCGATACAAACATGGATCACGGATACGACGTCCTCTTCACCAGTGAAATCGAGTCGAGGTTTCAATGTCCGATTTGTTTGCTGATTCTAAGGAATGCTGTCCAGACGGCTTGTGGGCATCGGTTTTGTGACGCCTGCATCAAGAAGGTCATTTTGTAAGTAAAACCGACTGCCATGGGGGTAATTTTTATAGCACTAAGTGAAAAAACTGTCTCATTGTTTCGTTATTTGTAAGATTGTTTCCTTCAATCCTTGTAACCAATGGGTGTCAGTTATGAAATGGCTGGAATTTTTCCTTCAATCTTTGTGGCCAAAAGTTATGTAATGGTTGTAAGGTTTCCTTCAATCTTTGTGACCAAAAGTTGTCAGTTATGTAATGGCTGTAATGTTTCCTTCAATCTTTGGGTGGCCAAAAGTTGTCAGTTATGTAATGGCTGTAATGTTTCCTTCAATCTTTGTGACCAAAAGTTGTCAGTTATGTAATGGCTGTAATGTTTCCTTCAATCTTTGGGTGGCCAAAAGTTGTCAGTTATGTAATGGCTGTAATGTTTCCTTCAATCTTTGTGGCCAAAAGTTGTCAGTTATGTAATGGCTGTAATGTTTCCTTCAATCTTTGTGGCCAAAAGTTGTCAGTTATGTAATGGCTGTAATGTTTCCTTCAATCTTTGGGTGGCCAAAAGTTGTCAGTTATGTAATGGCTGTAATGTTTCCTTCAATCTTTGTGACCAAAAGTTGTCAGTTATGTAATGGCTGTAATGCTTCCTTCAATCTTTGGGTGGCCAAAAGTTGTCAGTTATGTAATGGCTGTAATGTTTCCTTCAATCTTTGTGGCCAAAAGTTGTCAGTTATGTAATGGCTGTAATGTTTCCTTCAATCTTTGTGGCCAAAAGTTGTCAGTTATGTAATGGCTGTAATGTTTCCTTCAATCTTTGGGTGGCCAAAAGTTGTCAGTTATGTAATGGCTGTAATGTTTCCTTCAATCTTTGTGGCCAAAAGTTGTCAGTTATGTAATGGCTGTAATGTTTCCTTCAATCTTTGTGGCCAAAAGTTGTCAGTTATGTAATGGCTGTAATGTTTCCTTCAATCTTTGGGTGGCCAAAAGTTGTCAGTTATGTAATGGCTGTAATGTTTCCTTCAATCTTTGTGGCCAAAAGTTGTCAGTTATGTAATGGCTGTAATGTTTCCTTCAATCTTTGTGACCAAAACGTGTCAGTTATGTAATATCTGCATCCCTAGTATCTTAATTTAGTTTGCTTGCACTGCTGGGTGAATTAATAACTGTATGCCTATCGCATATTTTAAAATTATAACTTCAAATTATTTTGTTTGTTTTAATGCCAGTTTTGTAGCTAGGGTAACTAACCGTAACCACCTTATAAGCTAAACATCAACTTAATCATAAACAGTTATCTTGTCGAACTTATCCGTTAAAGATAGGATAGTCTACTTGGCCATTTTAGTTATATTTAAACTGGTTTGTTGTGGTGTGGGTTAATGGCTGGGACACACGTAAATTAGTTGTAGGATTATATTTTCCATTCAAAGACCTGTAGTCTAACTGCATTGTATAGATATACGGGGCTAGTATTTATATGAAAAACAGCTTGCTTTGAAAACTTAGGTGTAAAATCCATAGCAGTGTACAAATTAGCCTACCAATAGCAACTTAAGTGTGTGCTATTGTAATAATAAAGCGCCTTGTTTATTAGAAGAGCTTTCTGTGACTGAAGAAAATTTGCGATTTTTATCAACTTTTTCTAAACTTGACTTGGACTTCAGTTCTCTTTGCTCCTTATGAACATGGGGCCTCCACCATTTCCTTCCATTTTCTCCGATCCCCGGCTATTGATTTTGCAATCTCCCTAGACATCACTATTGGCTTCATTTCTTCGAGAAGACTCCGCCTCCAGGTCTGTCTTGGGTGCCCTCTCTTCCGCTTTCCTTGGAAATTCACATTGAACTTTTTCTCAAAGTAAGTTTAAATCTTGTAAAATCCGATATTTATCTGGGGTCTACGATCTTGCGTTTCAGAAGTAAAAACTCCATTCTCACATGCCCAGTGGATAAAACTTTCTCCAAAGTGGACGAGGTAAGTTGAAACTTTACTATCTCAATGTTGGGGTATGATTAATTCTTGTAAAGTATGAACTTTTCATTTGGTACATTTTAGCTAAATGGTGGGAAAAGGATTACAATTTTTGCTAGTGTAAAATTTTTTAATTGATCTGTTATTTTAAGATTGAATGTTGGCAATCTAGTTACAAGAGATGCTATTGGTCAATGCATGAACGTGTAAATTTTGTTTACGTTTAAGATTTTCCCAGACATCGCCACGAGAAGAGAGATCCTGTCACTTCCGGTGAAATGTGCTAACACTGACTGCTGCAGTTGGCAGGGAGAGTTACGTGAGTTGCAGGCAAGTTGTTGAGACAAGAAGAAATTGGCGTAAACTTCATGCACCATTGATAATAGAATATTCTTAAAAAGGGGTGTTAGGTTACTGGTAGTTAACTAAATACGCACGTCTTGCTAAACCTAGTCCTGCCATTCGCCTAATCCTAAATTCTATCCATTAAACTAGACGAGGTTACAATGCTACTAACAACCTAGCCACTATTTTCGAAAGCGTATCATCTGACATCGGTATATCCACTCCTATTATTTGTACGAAATACCCCCCCCCCCCCCTCCGCAGCCCCCCGCGCATGCGCATCTTTACCTATTTTGACTATATACCCTTGTTACAGGCCCACCAATCGACTTGCAGCATGGAGAAAGTTGTCTGCCCCCAATCTTGCGGCGTCAAGATCCGCAGGTCTGAGGTGGAGAAACACCTGACCCTGTGCCCGTCACGCCCAGTCCACTGTCCCTACTGCGGTGATCGGATCCTGCACAGCAAAATGGTGGTGGGTGGTTTGTATATTACCGTAGGGGTCGGGATTGCTTCGGGAGAGGGGAGGAGGGAATCTGACTTCATTGAGTAGTTGAAGGGTTGTTGAAAATTCACGTTGAATTTAGTGTGTATTTTTTTTTAAAGATAAATACTACTGTTGGGTAGAACGTTAGTTATTGGTGAGAGGTGAAGGGTGAATACAATTCTAACGTCATTAGGGGAAGCAGAGGGTTTGTGGTACGTGGCGTCAAATCACCTTTAAAAAGATTGCGGCCTTTATTGACGACCCACTAAAACTTCCCAAAAAATGTATTAAAACCTTGTCTGAGAATGTTCCTTCTGACACACGAATGTTCTCTCCCCCCCCCCTCCCCCACCAGGGCCACACAGAGCAGTGTCCCAAGTGTCCAGTCACGTGCTCCATGTGTGGGGACAAGCAGCTGCGCGAGGAACTTGGGCGTCACCTTGACCCTGACCATGGGTCGTGTCCCAAGGTCATCACCTCGTGTCCGTTTAAATTTTCCGGATGTCAGTTCAAGGTGAGTCTAGACTGCCAAGTTTTTGGACATGTAGACAACCTGGTAACGTTTAGCATTTTCCCAGCTGTTGGATGTTGGCCTACTCTGTACCCTTAGCGAAGTTTGAAAACTCGCGTGCTGGAGTTGTTTTTTTTTTTTTTTTTTTTTTGGGGGGGGGGTCCTCAATTTTGTGCATTTGAACAAGTATTTTAAAATAGCCACTGTGCATAAGTACCTTTGTAGCAATCTTATCTCTTCAATACGTGTTAGCATACCAGTTTTTTTTTTTTTCATAAAAATCCGACTGGACAAATGCATTACACATTTTTCTGCAATTCTTTAAAATCAACCACACAGGCAGGCAATGTTCCCTCTAAGCTGCACGGTTGCGTGGCCGCGCAGTAATTTTGAACCTGCCGTGCAGTCATTTTGTAGAATACACATATCCTTGTACAAGACTTTTAGAACACTGCGCACACAAAATACACGTTGCACACTAGCTTATTCCCCTTAAAAACGACATTGCTGTCACGTGGCTTTTGGTTAGGTTAACGTCGAAATAGTGTAAAGATTTGGATTAGGGTCTGAGCAGTGATACCATTACAATCTCGGCTTTGATGCTAAGTTTCGACTATAGCATTGTTTATTACCCAAACTGGCAACCCTCGCAGTTGTGATACTTCTATTATACGAGCTCTACAAAATAGTCGCCTCAGTTTGAGAGTATACTAAACGTCTTAAAAAAACGTAACTTTCTTTCATGTAGGCTGAACGCAGCAGGGTGGAGGAGCATGCTAAAGACCCAGTTACTTTGTGCCAACATCTGAACCAGGCTGGACTGAAGTTGGCGGAGTGTTGCAAGACCATTGATGAGCTCAAGGGAAAAGTGACAGAGTTATCAAGGTTGGTAGCGCCTTGCTTACATTCTAGGGGTGGACTGGTCCGCCAGGACACCGGGGGGGGAGTACTGGTGGGCCACCATGAGAAAATACCGGTGGGCAGCAATAATAGGCATGTTTCGGGCCTATTGGTGCTATTTTTTTTTCAATTTTACTTAACCTTTCTGATTTGTTACTGCATATTGCAGTATGTAAAGTGGTATGTGCCTCTGTAGGTCACAGCCCGAGTCTTAGTTGAATAACAACTTATGAACTCGGGATCGGGTTGCTTGGATCCAGCCAATCCACCCCTGATAATCTTGGATTAGATCATTACAGCTGTCTAATAGTCCAATTATTTGCGACATAGCTGTTCTCTTCACACGGTGACGTTTCAAAATGTTAACCAAGCGCTCTGGTGTCCCATTCACAGCAAGACAAATGAAGCTTTCTCGATCATCGGCGCCAACCAGCGCAGTACCACCCAGATGGCTAGAGAACTGAAGGAAAGAAATGTGACCGGTAAGCTGCATTGGAAGGTCAAGGTCGGTCAGCTGAGAAACCCACGCACCAGTTACTGCAGTCCTGCATTTTATACCGGATGTCCCGGATACAAGGCAGGTTTTTGTTGTTTGTGACAGATTATGTGCAATTTCTCGTGTTACCTAATTTTAAACAAATTAAAGAATAGTTACACTTCCTAAACTGGCGATTCACGAGGCAGTCGAACTAGTTAACCTGTTTCTTCAAAGTCTGCATATGAAGCGATAGTGTGGTCAGCTTCAGAGTTTCTTCCAGGCATCTCTTCCCCCTCCCCCCCCCCCCCCCCAAGAAAGTCTACCGCCCCCCCCCCCCCCCCCCAACGAGATGGAATTTGTATAGTAAAAATATACTTTTACTAGTGCCCCTCCCCCCGAAAATTTCATTTCCCCCCCCCCCCCCCGAAGAAAAAAGTCTGTAAGAAACACTGGTCAGCAGCCCTTTCCATAACGAAAGTGTGTACCCATCAGAGCTGTTTCGACTCGGGGACGCCTCACGGACTCGAGCCGGGATCCGAACTCGAGACTTCCGGATCAGCAGTCGTGCGCTCCACCATCCGACCACGCAGTCCCATAACAATCTTTAGAGACTACCAAAGACAAAGCATGTTAAGTTTATATTGTTTCCTCTCGCGTGTCAGGTTCAGCTGACCCTAGACATGGATGGCGTGAGGGAGGGCAATGTCCGCTACACAAGTCTGAGCGTGACGCTACAGCCCGGCGAGTACGATGACGATGTTGTCTTTCCGTTCAACGCCACCTGCTACGTCACGCTCTACGACCAGGTATGTGCATCAGCGTAACGCATCCAGAACTCGCCCTCAATGTTGGAATTGGCTGGCTATATAGCCCGTCCCAAGCACGCAGCTCAACTGCAGAGCTTTCAAATCTTTTAAGAGGCCAAACAATTTGTGCTGTATACCAGGAATGCAAGAGAAATATTTTGTGTTCAAGCGTAGTAGTATTATCAAATGAAATCAAGAGTTTACACTTGCGACATGTATACTGTAAATGTTAATGAGTAGGGCCCCCAATACATGTTCTTATAACTTATGACGAAGTTTTTTCCTAGATATGTAAAGAAAGTGTGTAGACATGTATAGTATTTACTTAGACATGTATAGTATTTACTTAGACATGTATAGTATTTACTTAGACATGTATAGTATTTACTTAGACATGTATAGTATTTACTTAGACATGTATAGTATTTACTTAGACATGTATAGTATTTACTTAGACATGTATAGTATTTACTTAGACATGTATAGTATTTACTTAGACATGTATAGTATTTACTTAGACATGTATAGTATTTACTTAGACATGTATAGTATTTACTTAGACATGTATAGTATTTACTTAGACATGTATAGTATTTACTTAGACATGTATAGTATTTACTTAGACATGTATAGTATTTACTTAGACATGTATAGTATTTACTTAGACATGTATAGTATTTACTTAGACATGTATAGTATTTACTTAGACATGTATAGTATTTACTTAGACATGTATAGTATTTACTTAGACATGTATAGTATTTACTTAGACATGTATAGTATTTACTTAGACATGTATAGTATTTACTTAGACATGTATAGTATTTACTTAGACATGTATAGTATTTACTTAGACATGTATAGTATTTACTTAGACATGTATAGTATTTACTTAGACATGTATAGTATTTACTTAGACATGTATAGTATTTACTTAGATATGTATAGTATTTACTTAGACATGTATAGTATTTACTTAGACATGTATAGTAGGCCTATACATGTTGCAAGTATAAACGCGATGTTAGCCTGGTTACCTATCCCAGGACCTAAGAGTTAACTGCTAATTTTGTTTACTTTATTTACCAAGTTTATCCTTGCATAATACATGTCTTGTGTCCGTCACCTCCAGGCCAACACTGCCTCACAGAGGGTCAACTTGACCCAAGAAATTGTTCTCAGGGAAGTTCCCAGGAACCACAACAGAGGGGGTCAGGCTGGGGAGAGAATCTACAGGAGAGGTAAGGTTTTAATATGCGTGTAGTATTAGACAGAAGGGGATGGAAGGGGTGAGTGTTTGTTCGTTATAATCTGTCCCCTCCCCTAGTGTTCACCCCTCGTGTCTTGAGCTGTCTGTAATCAGGTGGTCATAGTCAGGTTTGTACTTGTTTGTGTAGGGGTATAAAAGGTGTGCAGCAATGTGGTTTCATCGCCTCAGCTCAGTACTTTACATCCCTCATGTTAGTGTAAGTTAGTGTTGTGTACTTCAGTTCTGTAACCACTGTATCCTAGGTTTGTGTTTGTATGCGTATATAGTATTTAGAATACACTGTGTAGTGTAAATAGCTTATTAAATGTTTATTTCGTATTGTAACTAGCCTTTGTTTTAGTTTTTTTTTAACCCGTATGTGGTTTTGTCTTGTATGATTATCCGTAATCGTGTCAGTGTGTTCACAATATTATTATATTATCACAAGATTAAAAGACAGGAGTTCAGAATGTAAGGTTCTTGTGTACAATCGAGAGCCGCAATTTATTCTAGAAAGGTTTGTTTCACACTTTATAAATAATTTTGCTTCCAGAACACGGCAAATATGTGAAACGGAATGAACTGCTGGGCAACAACTCCCGCTACCTGAGGCACGGTTTTCTCCACTTTGAGGTGACCATCATCCACTCTTTCTACCCTCCGCCAGAGGCCGCTGCTGCCTACATGTCGTCTGCGTGTATTTCCAACCTGATGGGTCAAGGTGCCTTGATTATCCACACCCCACAGAGGAACCCAGTCACCAGACAAGCCGCCCTGCCCGCCCAGCCTCCCATCATGGGGCTTGCCACACTCGCTATAGGAAACTAAGGACGCAGGAAACTAAGGACGCTAACTGGATAAGATGGCCAGGCTGCCAGATTTTTAACTTTTTATTTTTATTCTTGAATTTAATTTTTATGTAGCTAAAGTTTTATGGTGCAATATTTGTTTTTAGTCTTCAAATGATTTTAAATGTACATTTTGTTGTTTTTAGTCTTCAAATGTGTTTAAATGTACATTTTGTTTTTATCTGGAAGTATCTTAAATTTTAATTTCATTAAAAACGATTTTTACAAAAAAGATTTGAAATTTTCTTTCGTGGTACTAGTTAGAAACTGGCGCATTAGGTCCAGTGGCTTAGCGAGGATTTTCGGGCCCCTATGCAAAAATTATCAGTGGGCCCCTTCGTCAGCCTTCAGGCTACAATGGAGTTAAACTAAGAAATAAACTGCTACTTGTGATGAAGGGTTTTAAATAATATAAATATTCTGTACTTTTTATATTTTATACACGATTGTGTATTTACTATATCATGTAGTTTTGTAAAAATGTTACAGTAGCGTCATAGGGCGGGGGGGGGGGGGCAGAGGGGCAGTCCGCATCGGATGACAACATATGGACGTGACACCATGACTAAATATTGTAAAATTTACTTTCATAGCTTTGTTGTATCGAGCTAAAATAATAGATTTGTAAGAGGAGTGACACACTACGGAAAATGTTGGACTATGGGTTGACACCTTTAGTAAACGCACAGGGTAACGCCCGACTTTGTGACGCCACTAACCATTTTTTTTCCCCACGTTTTCTTTAACTTGCTTTCGCGTCTTTCCAATCAAATCTTGCGATCGAAATTTCGGGCACTTCCCAGTTAGCTAGCGCGCTGAAATTTTCAGGGAAGCTTTGTTTCAGATGACAATAGAATATTCAATTGTTATTACTAAATTGATCCATGGAAACATTTTATTGATCATTTTAGACCGCTATATTGTACAAAAAACGTGGGGGGAAAGGGACATAACACAGTGATTGTAATTTGATGAAAACAAGGTTCGGTACTCTCCCTCTTTTTGCTTACTGAGTAGTTGTCACGCGGTGTTTGTGTACAAACAACCAGAACGAAACAACTGGTGGCCAGTATGGGGGAGACGATATGGTCGAGTGGTTGGGCACACGATTGCTAACCCACTCGACACGGGTTCAAGGCACGTGTTTTTTACGAGTTGTCTTCGTTTACCCCAAAAAAAATGTAGACATGTATATATATTTGGTGGGGAGGAAACTCCATGAGGTGCCGCACCGGGTAACACCCGACCTAGCGACGCCACTGTTCAGATCTCTTAATCTCTTAAAACTAAAATGTACGCACCCCTAAGCCAGAAACTCTCCTTACGATAATCATTTTTGTTTCATCTTAGCCACGATTCACATCTGCTTCGTGCCTATGTATGCGGCATGTTGGTTGACATTGATTGTGACCTATTTTACTTCCGCCTCATCTTGCACAATTATTGGTCTCACTTGTGTCCATATTAGTCAGTTATAAAAAAAATAAACTAAAAATCTATTAACAAAAGAAAGGGTATGTAGACATTCCGTTAAAATGATGTTTTGGTAAAACAGAAGTCGAAATTGTGCTTTCTTCCTTGTAGATACCTCAAGTATTATCAAGAGCGAAGAATGTGGTTTCTATACAGCTTATTTTGGACAATAGCTATCAATAAAGTAAACGACAGGCTAACGAATATACCTATAGAATTTAACATTCACTGTAAATTTTCATTAGGTTTTTATTTAAACAAAAATTAACAAGCTATGAAATAAAAAGCTCTGATTTTAAATAGACATGTAGCACGGTTGTATTTTACCAACCCAAAAGCACCCATTTTCAAGGTTTTAATCTCTGGAAATTCTGATGTTTTCAAACACCGTTCTCTCTCACTCCAGGTTAGTAGGATGTTTTTTTCAGGCATCTTTCCGTGGGGAGGGGAGATAACACGTCTACCGCCCCCGCACCTGTCTACCGACCCTGTCACCCCCCACCACCAAACGAAATCGGAATTTATATATATATATATATATATATATATATATATATATATATATATATATATATATATATATATATATATATATATTTATATGTGTGTGTGTGAGTGTGTGCGCGTGCGCGTGGGCGTGGGCGTGTGCGTTTGTGTGTGTGTGTATGTACACAAATTATAATAGAAAATCTATTCTGCAACCAGTATCCGCCCTTCCCCCGCTTGAAAAAAAAATGTCTGAAAAATTGTTTGAGCCTTATTAATTAAATGAAATGAAGGCCTCTAGACAGTAGTAAACAGGCATTGCGTTTTTTTACAGGAATGGCTTAATGAAATATATAAGATTAGGAATAGATCTAATATCTTTGCATTCTTTGGTCTAAGATTGAAGAATGAAATGAAACATGAACGACAATTCATTAAAAAATGTACAGATTGTTATAAATGCGATTGCCTACCTTTTTAACACCATAAAAGAATGGTTTGATTACGTATCTCATTAGTTTCGCATATAAACTTGATTGATCGTTACTAATGGAAATACAATCTGGTATCATAAAGATACATTTTCATAATTTACAAAAAATAAAATATAACTTTATATTTTTTACATCCGAAATCAGTTTTCTATATGCGGTTGAAATAGTTATGTCAACAACACAATGAGATTTTATCCAATAGAAAGAAGTGTTACATATGCGGTTGTGGTTGCTTTTGCCGTCATCAAAATGGACGGCAATAAAGATGAAAGTGAGAGGTGTATCACTATTGCCTTACAATGTATTTCTAATGGACAGAAAGAAAAGGCTAAGAAATTTCTTTTAAAAGCCCAGAGACTGTTTCCAACAAAGAAAGCGTCGGGTAATTAAGACTTTGGAAATAATATTAAAATTATACATTTAAAGTGTCCTAAATCCGTGTGTTGTTTTTACATTTTTATTTTACAATGATTTTGCCTTTGCTGTTATTTTTATTACTAACGCTTAGCACGTCTCGAAAAAGGCTAAATAAAAATACAGGCAAGTGTTGCAGTAGTGACAGTGAGTGTGCTGGCAATATTAAAATCGTCACTATTATTATAGAAAAAAAAATATCAATTTGAAAATGCAGCATGTTGATTTATGCCATCTAATTTAGTAATTTAGTCTAGAGTAAAGTTCCACGCGCGGTCACACATAGCGGAAAATTCCAAATTCCCGATTTTCATCGGGCGCTATTTTATAACCGTTTCACACAGAAACAAACCGAAAGCACTGTATTACTCCGCTGCCATTCTACTGTAATATGTATGAGTCATTTTGTATTCCTACGCATAGTATTTAAGATATTCATGTTTTAGTGACGTCCCTCCTTGCGATATTTTTTTTCCCTTTTTTTTTTGCCTGCGTACGCAAGAACCTGCTTGCCAACGAGCGTATTGTATACGTTTTGATCCAATTTTAATAATTGAAATAAATATTTTACACACTTAAACGTGTTGTTGATTGTATTATTAATTAATAGATTGCAAAAATAATAATTAAAAACATGTTAATTAAATTAATTAAAGACATTAAAAGTTGACCCAGTGATGACTCAAGGGACGCAACTATAATAATCATAACAAAGGGACGTAACAACCACTAAAAGACATAACGTAACATTTGCTTAGATATGCTTGTATGTAGAGACACAAACTAGATTTAGAAGAAGTAGATGATCGAAATAATTTAAAACAGCAGAAAAAAAATAGAAAGTATACAGATTCTAGGCTTAGTTTGAAATATAGAGCATCTAGAACTAGGCTAGTCTAGCTCAAGTCGTTGGTTACGCAGCGATGTGAAACCACCGTAATCGACACCCAAGCTGCGGCCACCCCTATTTACCTATCAGGTTGCTTTATTAGCCTTATCTATCGCATATATTGTAGAAGCTATTTATAGTTAACCTAGTTATAAAAAGCTTTGATTGGTTGGTTTTATTCATCTCATCCGGGACCTAGTGTTTTTCATAGGGGGAACTAGAACCGCCTACGACGTCATACCTCGAAACTTTAAAATTTAAAAACTCGACTTCCAGAAGGAGAAAAACAAAAGAATTTGACCTGGATATATTTAGAAATGGACAGGTTTACAGCAGATATCGGTAGTTTCGTATAAAACATCAAAACAAATATTGTACGAAGCGATAAACAGGCGATGATCGCACCGGTGTTTTAACCGCGCGTGGAACTTTACTCTAGATCTATAGCTTGTGATTGTGACAGTACTCGCAGTAGATCTTCATCTTTTCCACAGAACAACAAGCAAAAACAATAGATTCTAGACCTATTCTAGATTATAGCTTAAAAAGAAATGTATGATCTAATGGTTGAACCACCTTGTTTATTTCACTTTTACTTTGTGTGTGGGGGGGGGGGGGGGGGAGAGCAGACGTGTAAAACTTATTAACATAAGCGGATTACACTTAATCATTTTAGGTCTCTTTAGAAATTTCCTGTCTGTACACTTAATATTGTTTCACAGTGGTTTAGTGTAGGCTACCTAATACCTCTTTATTATTTTAGAACATCATCTAGGCCTATTTTTAATTTTTAATTGTGTTAAGGATTGTGTTAAAGTTTCTATTTTAAAAAGCACAATATTATTTTACACTTATGTACTTATATTTTTTTTGCTGCTTAACTCAAACCCTAAAGCCATACTGGCATAAACAACTTTAAATAGTATTGTGCCCTGCCAGTGGCATTCAAAGAACTAAATGCAGATTCTGTATTTGTCATAAATGCTATAGATAAATATCTCTCAAACTGCTCATAATATATTGCTTACACACTATCATTATTATTACTTGTTACACAACTTTGTTTGGGCTTTATAAATATTTTTGTATAAATGTTTTAATTGTATATATCATTGTGATACTTGTAGTTAACGTCATTCCCTTTAGCTTGAATTTTCACAGATTTGTTTTACTTGATCCAAGTCATATTTTTGGTTTACACTAAATACGGTTTTCCCATGGTTTTTAGACCTGTTACAAACGCTTGAGCATGCTACATCAAATGGTGACACCAAAGCAGAAGATACAACTACACGCCAAAGAAAACAAAGTAATTCAAAGGCAAGTGATAAGGAAAAGACTAAAGGAGCTAATCATGTTGCGGATTACACACCTGAACAAAAAGCAGCTGTCAAAAGGTGATTGACAAAAAATGTCTCTTTTTTTTTTTCAATTGGATAATATATATATTATTAGCTGGCATCTGTTTGTTCCTAAAAGATACAACGTATAAGTTTGCTTTGATAAAAGTGCTATGGTTTTTATTTCCCTCTGTGATGAAGAACATGCAAATCTCTTTTGTCATTTTTTTTTCTATTGTTAATTAATCTGAACTGACCTAATAATACCCAAAATACAGTTGTTTCTTGGGTATTTTTAAAAAATATTACCTCTCTATGTTATGAATACTATTTTGGTAAGCTATACAAGCACTCATTGTATGTTTTTTTCTAATGTCATATTCTTATAGCTATTCCTTCTTTTTCTTAAATTTTAAAGGCATTTTTATGCTTATTCAGGCTATACAGTTGAAAAAAATTGCTCATTTAATTTTGCAGGATTAATAACTGTAATGATGTTTATGAGGTTTTGGAATTGCCTAAAGATTTTACTGAATCAGATCTGAAGAAAGCATACAGAAAGTTAGCTCTTCAGATGCACCCAGATAAAAATAAAGCTCCTGGTGCTACAGAAGCGTTTAAAGGTTTCACATTTCTTTTTAATTTCTAGTATGAAACTTAAGCTTTTAGTTTTGCTGTAGTTTATCATAAGTCAGTTTTATCAAAATATCACCATAAATTTTTTAATCATGTGTTAATACATTTTTTTATTCATGTGTTAAGGGGATATGCGCGGCTGAAAGTCACAAAATTCATATTTTTTCGTCATTGTGGGTTTATTGCAGTTTTGGCTTCTTCGTCCATTTTTTTATTAATAACTGAAGTTCATTAATGAAAAAAAAAATTGTAAATGTGTTTAAAATACCGTCTTTGTGACCCTATAAATGATAAAATAATTATTTTTACCCAATAATCCTAGTTTTTACACGATCGCTAAAATAGGTTCTATACCCGCTATCATATTGTATTTGGCATCGTTAGAAAGATGGATTTCTCCGGATTTTGTTAGTTTTACATATCCGTCAGTACGAAAACACACGAAGGTTTAAATTAGCTTTACAAATGACAAAGAAATGGTGTTTTCCTGACCTAGTTTTGGTGTTTCCCTAGTTTAACATGACCGACCGTGACCTTTTAATAACCCAAGCGCTTTGATTGGTTCCTTCATACGGAAGTTTACAATAAGCGCTACTTTTGTAACTTCATTTCAAAGAGGCTGCGTTGATATCTATAGGCCATTTTACTTTCACTGATCGTCCGTGCTGCTTGTAAAATGTTAGTTTTTTATTGAAAATAAAGTTTATTTGGAGGACTAGTCAACTTTTATTAGATCTTTGCAAACTATTTATCAACATGCCTCGTAAAAGTGCTTCTGTGCGTTGTCTCCAGCTAAATAATGCCAGAATAAAACAAAAACAATTAAAACTTGACCGTGAAACTATCGTCGTAGATACTAGGTCTGACATGAATCTAGATTTAGATCTAGATCTAGATAAAGTTGATGCCATTTCTACAACTACCTGTGTTAGCAGTACAATTGAAAATAGCATCGATCACCCGTCGTCTTCACTACCAGCAGGGCCCTCATCTGCTCGTTCTCCTACACCTGGAACCATTGCTTCTATCGACTTAGAAATAGATCTAGGTGCTACTAATCTAACAAGATCTGAGACAAAATTGAATGCTTGGGCTGAGCACGTGGCTAACACTACAACAGATGAGACACAAACGGCAGAGTCAGACTCAGCAGGCAATATAATTGTCAATATTTCTAATTTGGAATCTTTAATTGAAGAATTTCCATGCCCTACATGTCATTGTCAACAACTAACAGCTGTGCAAAAAAGCAAGTCAGGTATGGCTTCATGCTTTGAAATTTCCTGTAAAAAGTGCCAAGAAATTGTTAAAACCTGGTGGTCCTCAGACAAACAAGATGGAAAATACACCATAAATTATCAAGCAGTATTAGCAAGCCTACTCAGTGGTATGGGAGCCAACATGTTCAACAATTTTTGTGAGTCATTTGATCTGGCAGGGATGCATCATCAATCATTTCAAAATCTGGCTAAACTTATCTACAGTTTTAATCCCAACCTGCGAGAAGCTGTTTTCAAGAAAGCTGGACTTGTAGTGAGAGATAAACATGAGAAGCTACTTGGCATTGGTAGTTTGTCCACATTGGATATAGCTGTAAGCTATGATGGCACCTGGTTAACGAGGGGACACTCGTCATTTGTGGGTGTAGGCTGTGCTATTGATATACTCACCGGCCTTGTTTTGGATGCACACGTTATGTCTTCATATTGTAAGCTATGTGATCAATTGAAGGAAAATAAAGATTCTGCCCCACAATACTACAAAGACCGGGAACGAGAGCACTTAGAATCTGGAGATTGTAACGCTAACTTCAATGGTAAGTTTTTCTATATTTCTTTAGCTTGTAACCTTATAACTGTTATTACTGTTTGTAATATTTTTGAAAGTGTGATACATGTTTTTATTTGCATACATATGCTTGTATATATAGGTCCTATATCTTTTTTATTTATAAAAGTATATACATAGGCCTATATATATATATATATATATATATATATATATATATATATATATATATATATATATATATATATATATATATACACAATTAGAAACACAAACATATATATATATATATATATATATATATATATATATATATATATATATATATATATATATATATATATATATTTACATAATATAATTTTCAATCAAATTGATAATTTGTTACACTTATTTTCAGGATCCTCTGGAATGATGGAGGTCCATGCTTCTAGAGTGATGTGGATGAGAAGTCTCAAACTTCATAATATGAGGTACACTACAGTACTCTCAGATGGGGATGCTAAGGCATACGCAGAGCTTTGCCGCCTAAACCCATATGGTCGTGATGTCAAGATTCGGAAAGAAGAATGCATCAACCATGTGTGCAAACGCTTAGGCACTGCACTAAGAAATGTTGTGACAGATTCCTCAAAAAAAAAGATAACACTTGGTGGACGAGGTAAGGGCAAATTAACTCAAAACGCCATTAGACGGTTGTCCATCTACTACACAAGAGCTGTAAGAGGCCACAAAACAGCTGCTGACATGAAGACAGCAATAATGGCATCACTTCAACACTGTTTCTCCACAGACAGAGAGCCAATGCACACAATGTGCCCTACTGGAGAAAACTCGCATTGCTTCTACAATGCAGCTCTCGCTAAACATGAGTTTCCAGGCCCACATGAAAAGTTTCTAACCAATCCGTTAGATAAAAACCTGCTGGAGAAACATCTCATGCCTATCTATGAGAGGCTCTCAGCTCCAGAACTTTTAAAAAGATGTGAGCTAAAAGGCACACAGAATGCCAATGAGAGTCTTCATTCTGTCATTTGGTCTAGATGCAGAAAAGACAATTTTTATACCAGGGCCAGAATTGAATTTTCGGCTTTTATGGGCATTGGAGATTTTAATTTTGGGCCAGATTTTTGCAACTATTTGAAACAAGAAATATATGGATTTAAATTGTCCAACAATGCCAGAAGACTAAAATGTATTAGAGCAAGAAGAAGGCTATTTTTTAGCTGCTATACTCAAAAAAAGCAGATTAGTCTGCGCAGAAAAAAGGTTAGGGAGGCAAAGAGAAAAAGGCAGGAAGACCAGGAACTGGTTGAAGGTGGTCCATCATATGCTGCTGGAAAGTTTTAAATGAATTTTATAAATAAAAATTGTGTTTTAGACATGTTTTTTCATTATTTTGTTCGTTTTTTGCGTTTTTCTCAGTTCTGTGTTTTTGAGCACTAAAAAGCCTACTACTTTTTTATTATTTATACAATAGCCACCATATTTTCAGCATGTATTCTTTATGCAATTATTAAACTTTTGTCACGAGGAAATTTTGATGGCTTTTATAGAAAAAAAATTATGGTACAATATGTAGACAATTTTGTAATTTTTGCATACTAATTAGAGTACATTTTTAAGACCTTGTAGAATTCTGACCAGTAACTTTATCAAAAAGTTTTCGTGACAAAAGTTTTAATATATAATGAAATATAAGCCATTAAAATTTGATTGCTGAAAGTGCATAAACAAAAAAGCCTTAGTGTTTTTAAAAGTGCAGACAAATTCAAAATGGCGGATGTTTTTTCGGGTTTCCATGACAACCAAAATAATTTTCACCCGTGTTTTTACTGTATAGTACTTACTTTCACGTGCCAAACACGATTAAACTATTTAAAAAGCTTTAGGTGTTATATTTTAAAAAATAGAAAAAATCATAGCATATCCCCTTAATACATTTTTTTAATCAAGTGATAATTTAATGTTTTCAGTCAACAGCTGAAAGGTAGTTTAAAAATTTGCAGTTTTATTTACCATACAATTTTTACATGAAACATAAAAATGACACTTTTTCATTATGAAATGTTTCTTTTATAGCTGTAGGTAAAGCTTATAGCATTCTCAGTGATAAAGAGAAAAGAAGACAGTATGATTTATATGGCCCTGAAATGCAACCTAGTCGACCATCACGACATGAAGAGGATTCACATGGTTTTGAAGGTAAAGACCAAAGCCTGTGTCCAATTACTATGACCTATACATTAGATGCTATTATAAGTTCAATATATATTCAGATGTTAAAATACATAATTTAAAATGCAGAACAGAGTACTCTCCCTTTAGTTTTCGAGTCAACCATGGCATCCAAACCAAACATGAAAAAATTCACAATTAAAACTTTAATGCCTTTAATTGCTTTGTTTTCTTCCCGTTCTAGCTTTAATGAAGCAACTATTTGTTATTTCTATTAGGTTGTAACAATATTATCGATTTTCAGTATGATACGCTTTAGAAATCTTCCAATCGGGAATATGAAGAAATTAATTTTTTATTCATTATTTTATTTATTTACCAGGACTGACGACCTAGATGGCATTTTGTTTTCGCAAAACAAAAAAAAAATATTTTTAAAAAATAGTTAAAAACCTCATAGGCATTAAATCATTCATATAAATAAATTAGGATTTGATTTAATTTAAAACATTTTGTTTCATAATTCATATTATTAATCTGAATAGCCTCCCTTTAATATTCACCGATTGATGTGACGTCATAACCGTGTAGATAGTATTATATCTATCCTGTCCGTTGCGGGTTCGGAACCCATAATATTTGTAAATGTTTTTTGTTTTATCTTCACCCGTAGTTGGGGGGTGAATTAATTCTCTTAAATTTTAATAATAATAACAAATTTTTAATAGGATTAGTTTTACAGATCTTCCGATTCAAGAATATAAAGGAATTAACTTTTTTATTCATGATTATATTTACTTATCAGGTAGCAATTGAATATTATCGTAATGGGTTTCCTTTCCTCTGAGATGGCAGGAACGCACATGTACGCTTGTATTTTAATGAATGACCTTCTCTTTTATAATTCTCTTATAATTCTAGGTGATATATCTCCTGAGGAACTTTTTAATATGTTTTTTGGAGGCGCCTTTCCCACAGGTAATTGACAACATGATATTTCAGGCCTTCTTTTAGCTTTAAATTTTAAGATGAGCAGCTTGATTAATCTGATTTTTTTATTGTGTAAGTGATCTTTAACATTATTTTACAGGAAATATTAATAGGCGGCATACAACTAACGCAAGGAGACAACAATTCTATACATACAGAGAAAACCAGCAGTCAGAGGTAAGGACTGTACTTGTTTTTGGTGTAAGCTATTTAACCACTTGATTATAATAAGCAGGTTAAATTTTCAAATGATATTTCACATTGCCAAATGTATTTCAGAGTGGACTCACTTTGTTTTTTCAACTTGCACCGATTTTATTGCTTATTGTGTTGTCTTTGATGAGCAGTTTCCTTGTTAGTGATGCTGTATTCAGTTTACAGCGAACAGAGTAAGTATATAAGTGTGGCTTAGTGTTATTAGATACACCCCACTACTAACTGTAATAACCAAAATATGTTTTTAGTATGCTAATTTCTGCGGCTGTGACGTTTAACATGATACCAATATTAAAGTTGATTAAAAAAATTTACATTTTTAGGCAATTCTTCAGTAGAAAAAAATGCAGTTTCTCAGCCTTTGATTTATTTTAAGATGATTATTAATAAAGCTTGTGAATGTTATACTAATATTTATTTCAACTCTTTTATTAAAATATTCTTAATTGAACCTATTTTTTTTCAAGCAAATACAGTGTAGAAATGAAAACTCAAAACTTAAAAGTAACCTTCTATGTTAAAGAGGATTTTCGTGTAGAATTTAAATCTGACCTTAGGAGGATAGAAAGGGCTGTTGAAGAGGAATATATTGGGCAGCTTCGAAGCAATTGTTTTAGAGAAAGAAATTACAGTAAGTCTTCAAGTTTTAATTAGCTCCACACCAAAATGATTTTTTCCCCAACTTAAAATGACTACTTGTTTTGTCATTTACATTGTCTTTTTATGATTTACCTTAAAAGAATGATCTAAACTAGTTTAACTTTTCTTAAGCAATTATATGTTGTTTTTTTTTTAATCGATTTCTTGAGACTAGATGAAATAATTGATTGCTATTGTACTACAGGGGAAAACATGATGTGGAGAGCAAGAAACTATGGAGATGCAAAGTTGTATCAGAAGGCTGTGGATATGACTACACCATCTTGTGATAATTTACAGAAAGTTTATTCATGATGTGGAATGCTTGGTTGTGCATGAGATTTGCCTTTATTTTTCTATGTATATTATATCTTGGTATTTAATTTTTGATTAGCAAGTATTCCATTTGATCTGGATAAGAATGGCTGGTACATAGAAATTTTAATCAGTGAAAGAATGTTGTCAAAGTAATGTTTATGTTCTCAAGTTTTGTTTTGAATAGTTTTAAAAAAATGTTTAAATGGGCAAAAGTGGCTGAGTGAATGAGGCAAGCTGTCATTTTTTTTTGTACAAAACTATTTTGTAAGCACACATGGCATAATTTTTATGTTGGATTGTTTCCTTTCTACACAGATATAAAGTTGTCTTCTTATGGCAAATGTTATTTATGTATGCAACAAGACAACAATTTTGTTTCTCATTGATGTTGAATCATTTCCTCATAGAATTTTGATTTTTATGATACCCATAGATTTAAAGTTGTTTCTTGAGGTGTGCTTGTGTGACTCTCATACTCCTAGAACAGATAAATGTTTAAATTCCAATAAAGTTAAGAATCTCAGAGAACTTAACTTGTTTTAACCACATCCTAGTATGTTAATGCTCGTCTAACTCATGTCATTAATTAGAATTTTTTAATTAACCTTTTCGCTCATGTTTTTTAATTAGGTGTATCAGAGTTTGCTCAAATTTATGAATTGATAATGGTAATAAAGTTAGGGTTGATTATCAAGTTTGATCAGGTTTATTTCAAAGCTTTTAGACAGAAAACATTTACCTCTAGAAAAGAATATGTAGTCGTCTTCAATCTATTTTTTTAAACACTAATTTGTTTTTCATTATGGATGTGCGATTGTTTGTGATATTTTTTCCTCACAACTTAAACCTGTTTATATATTTATTGTATTAATGCAATCATTTTTATACTACCTTAAAAAGTAAGTGATAGTCTACAATTTAGGTAAAAGAATATGTTAAAGAACAAAGAGCCAACTACCCTCTCTTATGTACATTTTTAGAAAAAAATTCTGTATATTTAGTATCAGAATCAGCATTTTTTTTAATGAATGTATATTTAAAACTTGAGTAAAATAAGAGGGTTTAGGTGTGTATATTTTGCCATATATAGATTTGGGTTCCAAAACTGAAACAATGCAATCCTCAGACTTATCACCCAATCCATTTTCTCTCTTATTTAAAAAAAAAAGTGTTCAATCTCGCTTTCATTGAATGAATGTTGCAATTATTAGTGTGGAGCAAATTAACTTTTCTTTACACTATACAATATTGCAATTTTTTTTTTATTTAAATGAAATGAATGTTTTAGCCTGTTAGATAATTTTAGCGATGCCATTGTTAAATGCCATCCAAATAGCTTACTTGTACAACTATTAATCTGAATGACCAGTACATGATCACTGTATCTTTTACTTTGTGATTACTGGGTTTTTTCTTAATTCCTCTTTGCACATAATTGGTCAGATATTTGGATTTAAAATTTTTCAGAACAATGCATGTTATACATGCTATCTACATGATGCGTATTTAATATTTTTTTCAAATACCACATTTTTTAACATCATTAAAAAAAAAAAAGATTAAAGTTCAATTGTTTTAAATAAAACGTTTGCCATGTACACAAGTAAAAATGATTTTTAAAGAAATGTTTGACTTGTTTTATTCTCTCATGTCACAGCATGATGTATATAAAATAATTCCAATTACACTCATAAATCTAGATGAAAACTTCACATGCCTGCTTTACTTATATCTCAAATGAGTTTTTATCTTTAAGTATCCTCTATTATTAAAAAAAAAAGCAATTAACTTTACTATTTCTCCTGTTAAGTCATTGTATCTAAATTATACCTTAGAGCTGTTGGTTTTTTTAAATTGCATATAACACTTAGTTGAAACAGTTTGGCAGTTTTCTTATTTGGACCTGTTTGTATTAACATTTGCATGATTTTATAACAAAGTAGTTCTAAGCTTTAAAGTAGACCTATATGTGAATAAGTGCTGATATAGCTCAGAAAAAAAAAGTATAATAAAACCTTTACACTAATTTACAGTACCTTTAGAGTAACCGATTTTACTTGTATTAAGAAAATGCACTCATTTTATTTTAGTGCATCTAAAAGCTGCCTATTTTAAAAGTTAAAACTTGATTTATTTTGTTCTTAATTATAATTAAGATTTAAAACCAATTAGCACAACTCACAACTAAAAGTTTGCTTTATTATACCAATCCACTTACACTACAGCTTTCCTCTTTAAAAAATTCAGTTATCTGCTCTTTAATAACTTGTTTGAACAATTTGTGAACATTTGACTTGATCACTTGACGTAATCTTGTGATGGCTACTACCTATTTGTTGCCCTCCAAGTGGTCTTAAAGTAATTTTTAATGTCAAGTGAGATTGAAAATAATTCTTCATTATCTTAAAATTTGTGAGAAAGCTAAATAATAGAAATCATTTAATTAGAAATATGGTAAAATTGAGTAAAGTATTTGACCACAAACCCAGACATGAAATTCATATAATAACAAATATAACAATTTTAAGGCAATAATTATTCAACTTTTATTTTTATCTACATCACATGCACCAAATTAAACTTGCTATCGCACAGACATAATGATAAATAGTTATAATTTAAATCAATTTTTACAAAGAGTGTCAACAAATAATTATGAACAATTTCAATAAAAAATATGCAGCTTGTACAAAGAGAAATTTAATTTGCTGAAAAACTGTATTGATTATGATTCTTTCACAGAACATTTCTCATCTCTGAATAAATACATTTTCTACTGCATAACAAGAAATCACACTTGGTTCTTTCTTTTATTATCACTAAAAGCTAGTTTCACTAGCTCAACTTATTATTCTACTAAGGTCACAACAAAGAAAGTTCTGTGTGTAAACCAAGTATCCTAAGACACTGCTGCTGGGTTAGAGTGTAGATACCAAGATCTCGGAGGGCAGATAGGGCATCTGTTGGCGGCTCTGAAGTATCTTGAGGATTTTTTTGTAGGACTTCCTTTAATAGCAGAGCTGAACCTGTTTTCAATGTTAACAAAGTGCAGGCCTCTTTTGATCTGCGGGAGGAAATAAAATTAACATTAAGCATTCTAGTGAGTTAGACATTAAAAATATACTAAAAGAAGTATTATGTAAGCAAAGCTAGAGGGATATTTTAAGGATTAAAACCTAAACATTGCCTTTATTAAAATGAACTGAAATTGATTTTGTTCATCCTTTTTTTTCATCTTAAAAACAGTTGACCTTGGGAAATAGGGTGACAAATAAATTACTTACAGACGAAAATAAGACTCTGGCTTATCAGAATAGTCACCAAACAGAGGGATAAGATTTCTGAGAATATCAAACTTGAGTTGCAGAGCTCCCCCAGTGTTAAAGTGGTTAGTCAAAATTACCTGTATTAAAGGGTTTTGAAAATACATCAAAAACAAGTAATTAACCTCCAATAATTTACAAAAATAAATAAAATGTGTGGGCTTAATTAGTTAAATAGAGTTTAAAATCACAATAGTTATTTTTTAGAAATAAAACTAATCTACAATAATTTTTAGTTTTGGTCTGAAGCATGCCCTGACTTAGTGAAGATAACTGTTGGTTCACTAACCTCATTCAATAAAAACTGATCAATGCTTTTGGCCAGCCGAATCCAAAACTTATCAAATAAAACTTTGCTAAGCTGCCCTTCCATTGTGGCCAGGTGATCTTTAAGAACTAGAAACATCTCACAGGCAGACTGAGACAGACCTAAGGTGGTGCTTAGCTCTTTAGGGGATGGGAGGGAAATCCATCTAAAGGAAATTTTAAAAAGTATGTCCATAACACATAAATTATATACTGAATACCCCTACAGATGTACAGTAAAACATAAATATCACAAACAAATAATGAATTTCCTTATCACTGCAATAATAATTATATTTAATATATAAAAGAAGCTGTTTAATGTCCTTATAACACTTGTAACAAATATATCTGCATACACTAATAAGTTAAATAATAAATTATTCTTATACACATGAATAACAATGGCAAATTAAAATTTAAAACCAAAAAGATACTCTAACAAACTGTAAAATTAAATTGTTTCATAGGACTAAATGTATTGTATTTCTATTCGCTGGTTTTGTGTTTAGAATCAACATTTAAAAATCAAAACCATTTTTAATGTGTTTTTTAAAATGGGTCCGGTTCAAATTTCTTTAGCAACATAAAAATACTAAAAAACTAACAGAGACAAAAAAAATTCTAACCTGTCTTTTCTGTATGGTTGACTTCGAGCTTGCACATCCAAGAAAACATAATTGCATACAGTTAAAATCATATCTGTCTCCATTCCTTCAAACAAACACTTAATCTCCTCAAAGACAGTATGTTCCATAGATAAATCAATCAGTTCAGTTAGTTCTAGATCCTGCAATCATTAAAAAAATGTTTTTTTTTAACTACAAACCACTTCTGACAATTTCATTTTCTTCATCCTCTAGTTACTCTTTAATTGTTAAAAAAAAATTAATTCTACAGTTTTTGTGCAAATATGATTTCAGATATAACTAAATCCATTCAATTTATCTGAATGTTTTTGAGAAAATGTTAAATTAAAATAAATTAATAATTAAATGTAAAACTTAAAAAAGATTAAATTGGTATAAAATTAAAACGGTGAAGTAGAACATACCTAGAAAAGATGCTACATACCAGTCTATTTCCTTCTCCATCTTGGTTGGCAGATCTACTTCCTCTCCTTATGTCAGGGCTGGCTACTGTGCTAGATTTGTTTGTCTCATACAAGCTGGTCTTCATGGAACGATTTTGCTTGTAACACAACAGCTGGAGGAAAAACTGAAAAACAAAGAGTAAATAAATCACTATTGAACAGGTTCAATGAAACAACTTACTTTGTATATAATGGCTTTAAAAATAAAACAAATTACATTACAGGTGACAACATCCAAGGATCTATTAGAGAGAATGGTTGTACATTGCTTCAAATTTAACTACCCAAGTATGTGTTTAAGGGAATGACTGTTTACTTACTGATATTACTACTTTATGAGATTCTGATGATGTGTTTAAAAGAATGACTGTTTATGTTTTGATATCATAACTTTATGAGGGTCTGATGCTGTGTTTAAGGGAATGACTGTTTACTTTTTGATATCATGACTTTATGAGGGTCTGATGATGTGTTTAAGGGAATGACTGTTTACTTTTTGATATCATGACTTTATGAGATTCTGATGATGTGTTTAAGGGAATGACTACTTACTGTCAGCTCACTCCATTCTTCAAGTACTTGCACCACATAATGCACAGCATTAAGCACAGCACAGAACATGTGACCTGTAGGGGCTGTGGAGGCCTCTTTCATCACCTGCACTAATCTCATGCGGAAGTCTTCCAGCAGTTCCATCTGGAGGCCTAGAAACTGGAGTTTGGCATCAGACACTGGCAGTCTTTTATACCGATCTGATAGAACATGTTTTGACTGTAAGGCATTACTTTAACTTATTTTAAATTATTAATCCAATAGATAAAAAAGAGAAATTTGAAGCTAAAATTTATTTTAAATTATTAATCAAATAGATAAAAAAGAAATTCAAAGCTAAAAAAAATAGTAACACTTAGGTCATAGAAGCTTCTAACCTGTAATTGTATGTAGAAGTATCATAAAACTTTCAGCACATTCTGGAACCCTGACCTCATCCAAATCTTCTATATCTTTGTACTGGGAGTCCCAGCAACTTGGAGACTGAAGCATTTGTTCAATTTTCTGCATGGCAACTAAATGGTAAAAAAGACAATCCTATAGTCCATGGTTTAAAGCAGTTAGTCTGTTGTACAAAACACGAACATATCAGACTAGTCAATTATGAGCTGAGTAACTTTAACCTTTAAAATAATTCAAATTATAATAAGTATGGGCTTACATTTCTTCTCCACAATTAGCCATTTATTCAGAGCCTCAGGCAAGCATAAAACATCCAAGCATCCTGGCAGAATAGGTGGATAAGAATATGTGTTTCTGATCTCACTGTCAAACAGGAGGATCTCATCTATGATATGTGACAAGTTGGCTTCATCGTAGACCAGGTGCGGCAAGTCATTGACGATTTTCTCCATCACCAGTAACACCAACCCTCTGGTAAACTCGGTCTAGATAAGGAAAAAGGAGCGTATTACTCAAAGCCATGTAATAATTGAAACACATCACTTGATGATATGTGGGACGGTGCCATCAAGTGGTAGAGTGCACAACTTAAACATGAAAGTTTCAAGCTTAGTTCATGAGTCTGGTCAGTAAAACATCCCAAAGTTGATCCAGTTCTAATGGGAACCTGACTCTGGATAAGGAAATAAAAGGCTACTGGACATTTCTTTATGTGCCAAGGCCAGAGAAACAGCGAAACTCTACCCTTTGAGTTTTTGGTATGAAAGTTTACTTTTATTTAAATGTCATGATGTATAAAGAAATTATTACCTTGGCGGACACATCCCCTCTACCTGAATCTTCAAGTATAGGCTGAATATTTCGATCAAGGAAGTCACTATGATCTCGAATCCAACTTAAGACTTGAGTAAGATACCACTCAGGCTATTTATAAACAGCACAAAATATGTTATCAATTCATGTCTTTCATGTACAGAGTATGTTTGTGTTACAAGAAAATAAAACTGTTATATCCAACCCAGTCAAATCTTATAAATATATTTAATGGAGGAAAGGTGAATGCTTTACAACTCTAAGAAAAACTGAAAATGTTAAATTAGAAAAAACTAAAGCTTAAAGTTATATGGCCTCCAAAAATTTTCAACAGTTAAATCTGTCTTTAGTACTATTTTAATTATACAGTTATTTTTTTCTTTTAAACATAAACTAACCTTCTCCAAACTGTTCGTCTGTTTTTGACCATAGAAATGGTAACGAAACCTTTTTCTCAAAGGTTTTATCATCAGTTCTAGGGGAAGTAATAAGGGCTTGATACCACCAATTTTTAATAGAAGGGGATGTACCCCAGTATTTTCCAACCCTAAGTTGTCACTGAGATGATGAGTTAAGTAAAACAGAGTCAACAAACAACAAAAAGATGATCAACAACCCTCATATCCAATATACAAAATTCTAAATCATAATAATAATATAAATTATGGAGCTGTTCACTCACAGAGCTATATAAAGAATTAGATACTAATTTCATGACTGCTGCAAGGATACGGTAGCTGGAGATTCAGCAGTTTTTTAAACAATTTTTCCATTCTCACTTTAAGTTCCTTCACATTTGTAACTGATGGAGCTTTGATGGTGGTGACAACAAGTGGCCATCTTAAAACTTTAAGGACTTCTTCAAATTCCCTGTTTTAAAACAATTAATTTGTCCATTAACTGGCTTGCTAATTGCTTTTTTAAAGTGTCAAATTGTTCAATTATAGTCCACTTTAAAATAGTTTACAAAATAATAATTGGTATTTATAATTAATTATATTAATATTTAAATATAAATCTGTATGTTATTTAGTGCCATCACACTTTACAAGGATGCTAAATACTGTACCCTGCAATTCGATCCCTGAGTATTTTATTCCAAAACAAAATGGTCTCTTTCATAAAATTTAAAAGGTTTTGACATGCAGATGTTTGTAAACTGTTAAAAAGTCCAGTCATCTCATTGAAGTTATCCACTGCTGATGTCCAGGATTCTGTCATTAATGAGGCCTGAATCTGTGAACTTAAAGAACCAATTCATTTTGTTACTCTTTTTTATTATTACATTCAGGTTAGAGAAAGTAAAGGCAGCTAGGCATAGTGCTGACCACAATCTCTTCATATGCTAAGACCACAGAAACTGGTGAACTTTACATCACTTGCCCCATAGACAATTCTGGTTCAAAAAGAGAACTTTACTTTTTTTTATTGATGTAATGTAAGGCAGGGTTATTTTTTCATGTCTACAACCAGCCTTCTGAAGACAAACAGAAAGTGAGACACTATGTATTGTAAATACTTTTAAACTATAGGTTAACAGATAAAGTTAGTGATAGACTCTAAAGTGCCTTGCGCTTCATAACAAACCTCAAATCCTCTATTTTTCCTACAGTGCTGAGATAGTAGACATATCTTTGCACCTCCTGAACTCTCTCTACAAGAGCTGAAAGTTCACCCACCATGGGCTTGACTGAATGTGTGTGATCCAGAACCTGATGCCGTACAGATTCAAGTTTCTCTTCCAATTTTTGTATTTGTTTGGATGTTGCTTCTGCACTTATTATGGCATTATCAATCTTTGATGGTATTTCGCTGCTTGCAATGATAAGCTAGTAAAAAGACATTTAAAAATAATAGACCTAGGCCTAATATTAATTAATAAAATAACAATAGATGAGGCTATAAAGGTAAAACTCCATTTTAGCGTATTTGATTCTCCCGCTTCCCGTTCACCTCCAGTTGAGTGTATTTTATTATAAACACAACCGAAACACATAAAAACGTTAGGAAAACACAAGATCTACTTATTTTTTTATGAATGTGATTTTAAATTAGAAAAGGTAAAAAAAAAACATAAAAAAGCATTAGAACTGTTCCAATTAAATATCGTGTGATCGTCAGCGGGAGAAAAATCCTTACACGGTCGTGGGTTCACAGTGAGTTCACATTGATTTTAATTATCAGCATACGTCATAGCTCGGGCAATAGATCTAGCTGTTTGAAATTGTGTTGGCCTCAGTTTTGGGGTCATTGTAAGTTCATAAATGTTTATTTATAGTATCATATGCCTGGGAGATACTTGTAACAATACAAACTTAACCGCATTGCAATTGTGAGTTACGTTTACACGTACCTCACCCATTGCCATGAAAATTCTAACTGACACACGATCATAGCACATTCAATATTCTAAATTTGGATTTTTCTCAAGTTTTGACAAAAGTAAATTATCAAAATCTAAAACAAAGTCAGTCTGTTTTTTTTTATTCATTTGTCAAAACAAAAATACAATATAAATAAAGAAATTGTGTTTTTTTAATGTTTTGGTGTGTTTCAGTTATTATAATAAAATACGCTCAACTGGAGGTAAACAAGCAGCGGAGAATAAAATACGCTAAAATGGAGTTTTACCGGCTAAAATAAATTCTGGGCTAATGGCATCAAACAAATGACTTTTAAGTCCGCAGACGCCACTTTACTCTTGATCTAATACTACTAATAAGTAAAAGCCTAATATTGAATATTGTCACTAATAATTTTAAATTTTTTATTTTTAAAAAAAATTTTAGTAGCAGATCTGAGATCTAGATTCTAGGTATAGGTTTGAGGGCAGTTTAAGCAATTTCTTCATACTTTTTGTTCTATATCTTCCTTTTTTTTATTATATTCATCACGCAAACTTTTTGCACTTCCTAAGGATTTTTTATCACTGAAATTGTCGTTCATAAACTTTAATAACAACTCTTGGTCGACTTTGTCTATGGAAGTTGCCATCTTGTTGACGTATAGTGTTTTGTGGGGAAATTAAAAAGATGCAGCAATTTCGGCGAAAGTAATTGATAAAATTTAGGTTAGGCCCTAGTGACCGGTTATAGATCTCAGAGGCGTAGTGAGGGGGGGGGGGGGGGCGGGGGGGGGACATACGTCCCCGGGCGCCGACCTTAGGGGGGTCGCCAAATTGAAAGTTTGAGGGGGGGGGGGGTGCAAATGAAAAGTTCGAGGTGGGGGTGCAAATCGAAAGTTTGTCCCCGGGCGCCGGGAAGGGTCGCTACGCCTCTGTTAGGTCTACTAATAAGACACATTTTTATACTTTTGTTTTTTTTTTTA